ATCAGGGCGGTGGCAGCCTGAGGGATGGCGGGCCCCAGCCGGCGTTGCGGGCGTGCGATCACGGGGTGACTCCACGCCCAGGGTGCTGGTCCTGAGAACCGCCGAGGGACGGAGTCGGGCCAGAGCCAGCCTGAGGTCAGTCTTCAGAAGGGGCTTCTGAGGGTTCTGTTTTGTTAAGTGTGAGTTCAAGAAAGAGGAAGCGGAGGGGGACCAGCAGTTAGCGTAATGGCTATGTCCCTGGACTCCCATGTAGCCAAGCACAGTTCGAGTCCCGGACCTGGTGACTTAAACTCAGGCCGGGCGCGTGTGTGTGCCGTGCCCAAGATTCTGAGAGGAGAATAGAGGAGAAGGGATTGCAGCGTGGCCATCCCCCCTGGAGGGGTGATTTCCTGCTTTCTATCTCTCTGTCTCTCTTTGTCTTTCCAGCACAAAAACCTCTCCAAAAAAAAAAGGAAGCGGGGACATGCGGGTCTCAGATTTGAAGGTGGTGTATGGGAGAGTCCTTTGGGTTGTGTATTAATATTTAACTTTATTAATAACTTCAGATGTAGCCTGAAGTTCAAACCTTTCCTTAACCAAGGAGCAGTATTGTAATACGTCGTGCTGTGGTAAGCAGTGACTGGCAAGTTCGCGTGCTGTCTCCTGGCTCCATTAGAGAGTAGCCGTATTCCCCCGTTTATCCGTCGAGAGAATGCCCCCTCGGGGCCTGGTCATGCCGCTGCCCTTCTCTGTTCTCTATCCCTTCAGGATCTTGGGCACACGTGTGCACACCACACATGCTTTGCAGGCGGCTAGGGCTGGGATTTGAACCCCAGTCAGCTGTGTGGGTCCAGCCTCTTCTGCGTTGTGCCTAACCACTGTGCTGTGGGCCGGCCCAGGCCATGTGTGATAAAGCAGAAGTATCTGATGGATGCTGTTAGGAGCTTAGTTGAGAACAGTGACGGCCTCCTCTCCTCCCACACACGCCCTTGGGGAGGAGTGGAGTGGTTGGCGAAGAATGGCTTGGGATGGAAATTTTTTTTTTTTAATTTGAGAGATTTTTGCTATAGGGTGTATGCGCTTGCTGGAAGGACAGAGAGAGAAGAGACAGAAAGTGAGGAGTCACCCACTGGGGGAGGATGGCCACACCACAGCCCCTCTCCCCTCGGGATCTTGGGCCTGCATGCACACGCATCCAGCACGAGTTTCAAGCCACCAGGTCTGGGACTCAAACCACAGTTAGCCACGTGGGAGTCCAACGGTGTAACCATTACGGCATTCGCTGGTCCCATTTGGAGGGAAATCTTTGTCATTTCTAAAATGAACACAGTGGACTACGGACATCTCAGGTAAACTAACCACAGGCTCCAGCCCCGCCTGGCTCTGAGCTGTGCCGTCACATGAGTGCTTTGGAGTGAAGCGCAGGTGGCTACTGCAGCGCGAAGGCTGTCGCAGGCTCCTGCATGCAGATGGCGCATCACTAATCGCTCTCAGGTCAGGCTGCTTCAGTGGGACCATGAAAGATCCACATGGCCCCGTGGCAGCCTGTCTGCCGGGTGGAGACGCTCGTCTTTAAGCAAGACAGCGATCTGACCGGGCCCGGCTCAGGTTGCTCCAGTTGACATGACTTGAGCCATTATTGGCAAGACCAGTAAACCTCGGTGTGCACAAACGATACTTCTAAATGGACTGGAAGACGAAGGCTTTGACCTTGCAGGGGACGCAGTACTGTCCACACAGCTTTGACATTTTCCCTTTTAAATGTGAAACTGAATACTTCGCTGCTGGAAGATTCCATTTAGAGAGTGACTTTTTTTTAACCTCCATGTAAACAGCACACGGAGAATCGAGTCGGTCTCTTGTGGTCCCCGTCTTCTGTACACAGGTGTGCTTGTCCCTTAGAACGGTGACTGTGTCAGTGATGGCAGCATCACTGAAACCTACTTCACAACTCTAGCAGCCAGCACGCTTCTCTCCATCCTCAAAATTCCTAATGTTGGGGCCAGCAATGACATAATGGCGAAGCCTCTGACCACAGTTCGAGTCCCAGACCTGGTGGCTTGAAAGTCCCGCTGGGCATGTGTGTGCGCGTGCCCAAGACCCCAGGAGGATGGAGAAGGGATTGCAGCATGGCCCTCCACTCTGAGGGTGATTTCTTACCTTCCCTCTCACTGTCTCTCTCTCTCTCTGTCTCTCTCTCTGGTGAGTGTACATGCCCCATGGCAAAATGTTATGAAAAAAGAGTCCTAATGTTCTAGGAAGTTTGAAATTAAACCTGGTTCCTGAGACTCGGTGATTAAAGTGAAGGAGGCAGTACGGGCTGGTGGGCAGGTACGTTCTTGGCAGGAATCCGGTAGGAATCCGAGGATCGTGCACTGGAGAGTTAGGTGTCACATCCGCTCTTGCTGTTGTTTTGCATTGAAATGAGATTTCATTTTTCTCGAGAGTGTAGCTGACGTGGACGGCTTGCACGTGAGCACTTTCCCACGGAACTAACTTTACAGACGTCTGTGGGCCAGGTTGAGGCGGTAAAGTGATAGGGTCTGTGAGCTGGGGCCTTTTCACTGACTGCACCTTGAAAATGTAGTTTTACACGTGAGACCTGTTTAGTATTGCTTCTGTACATGTCGTTCTGACAAGTAACAGTTCTTTCCATCTTAAATGAGTTTTTTTTTTTTTCCCAGATTTATGAAAACATGCATCCGTTTAATACTGTCTTGGAATTCATGAGATGGAAGCATAGGTCAAAGCCGCGCGGAGAAGATCTGAAGTACGGTTTCATCTAGCTCCATCTCCGAGGTAAGGAGACTTTTAAGGAAATAATGAGAATACTGGGACCAGCAGGTGGCGTAATGGCTGCATCACTGGACTCCCACGTAGTCAGCCGTCGGGTCCTGAACAGCGGCTTAACCTCATGCCCGGAGCTTGTGTGCACGGGCTGAGATCCCGAGAGGAGAATGAGAAGGGATGGCAGTGTGACCATCCCAGGGGGTGGTTTCTTGCTGTCTGTCCCTGTCTCTCTAGCAAGTACAGGTGCTCTACAGCAAAAATCTCTCTGAGAAAGAGAGAGAGAGAGAGAGAGAGAGGAGAGAATTACGTCACTAACGAAGCCCAGCAGAGGTGGCCGCGGCAGTGGGCTCCTCTGCAGTACTGGAGCCATGGGGCAGGCCACACCTTGGTTTGGATCTCGTGTCGGCCCAAGCGCAGCAGCTGCACCTGTGGTCATGGCGGACTGGCAAGCAGGTGGGGGTGAGGGCCTAGCAAGACCTACTGAGGGTGCCCCCAGGAAAGAAAAAATAAACTAAAACAGAGAGAGAAGACTGTCAAAGAAAATTCTCATTTCTTAACACTTGAAAACAGTCCTTCCGTTTCACCTCTGTGACTTTGAACTGCTTAAGTTTTGTGCTAATACTACAACTTGACATTAACTTGGCCGATTTTTTAAATTCATCTTCATATGAGTTCACAAATAATTCTAATTTATGTTTCCCTTACACATGTAGAAGTTCTTCAGGGAAGTAAAGGTGTTTTTTGTTTTGTAATACCACATTTAAACTCTTAATTTTAGAAAATAAGCATTAAATGGTGTATGTATGTATTTTTTACCTCTAAGATTGCAAAACAGGGTCCTGAATGGAACAGTATATAAAAAATGAATGTTTACATTATTCTGATACTTGCATACATTTTAGAATTCCAGGTAAGGTTTTTAACATGTTAGTATAATAGATCTTGAGCAATCGAATTGAATTTAAAGAAGTCGGATTGAAGCCAGCCTGTAGTGCGGTGGTTGAGGTGACTGGCCCTCGCATGGCTGGCCAGTCCTGGCTGTTCGAATCCTGGACTGGCAGCTTGAGGAACACTCTGGGTGTGTGTGCATGCATGCCCAGATCCCGAAAGGAGGGAGAGGTGGAAGAGAAGGGATCGAGGCGTGACCGTCTTCCATGGAAGGTGCTCTCTCCCTCTCTCATTCTGTCTCTGTCTAGCAAGTGCATGCCCTCTGGCAAATTCTAAAAAGAAAAAGAAAGATAAATAGAAGCTGCAGTGAGGGCAGAAAAGGAAGACGCGCTGTTACGAGAGCACATGCCCGGGAGCTCGGCCCGTTTCAGAACCCACGTAGACTCGGGTAACCTGGCAAAGGATTGCAGTCTCCAGGCTCTACATTTTAAAAAATAGACGGGGGTCGGGGCCAGCGGGTGGTGTGTGGTTAAGGTACTGGACTCCCACGTGGCCGCCTATGGTTCGAGTCCCAGATCTGGTGGCTTGCTTTCTCACTTACCTTTTTTTTTTTTTTTTAAGAGATTTTTGCTCTAGAGTGTATGCGCGCGCCAGAGAGAGAGAGAGAAAGCAAGAAATCGCCCCCCAGGGGGATGGCCACACCGCAGTCCCTTCTCCTCGATTCTCCTCTCGGGGTCTTAGGCATGCACGCACGCACACATGCCGGGCATGAGTTTAACCTACCAGGTCCAGGACTCGAACTGTGGTTGACTAAATGGGAGTCTAGTGACATAACCATTACGCCAACTGATGGTCCCTGCTTTTTCACTTTCTCTCTCCCTCTGTCCCTTCCTCCCTCCCTCCCTCCCTCTCTTTCTGTCTTTCTGATGAATGCATGTGTCCTATAGCAAATTAAAAAATGATGATAATAAAATTAAATAGTCCTATTTAAAAATCAATAGGGTGACAGCTCGGTGGTACTATGGTAGTTTGCTGCTCAAGAGATGCTGGATCCCACGTGACCATGGCGATGGGAATCTCCTTCATAAGCACCCAGGATCGGGAACCAGCAGTTAGTGTAATGGCTATGTTGCTGGACTCCCACGTAGTTGACCGCAGTTCGCGTCCCAGACCCAGTGGCTTAAAACTCACACTGGGCGCGTGTGCGTGTGTGCCCAAGATCCCGAGAGGAGAACGGAGGAGAAGGGATTGTGGC